TCAAAAGAAGAGTACGGAAATTTAGAGGCTCAATAAATTTAAATCATGGAGCTAAAAATAAAAAAATTAATAAATTTAATTTAATGTATCCAAGAGTCAGAATGTTGTTAGGCTATTATTCTCATCCTAGAAATTGTCCGTGAAGCATCAAACCCTCTTTTACGTGGCAAAGCAAAGTGTATATGGGCAATATATAGATGGATATTTATATAGTGAGCTGTATATTAATTCTCTATATCCTATCGACATTACACGTGTCCGCTCTCTTTCTCTCTCCTACAAATAATCAACTTGTTTCTCTCATTTCACTATTTAGCAGTACTTTCACTCTCTGGATCTTATCTCTTTGAACTCTGACTTGTCTGCGTTAGCTAGCTCTCTGTGTGCATCTGTGTGTTAATTTGTGTGTGAAATTAAATACCAACAAAGGTTCTAGATTCATTGTCTGAAACAAAAATGGCAGATGAGGGAACACACACCTGCATAGACTTACTCTTGGCTATTCTCTTGCCTCCCCTTGGTGTCTTCCTCAAGTATAATTGTGAGGTACCTACGTGACCACTCTCTCTCTCTATATATATATATATTTGTATGTATATGTTTGGATAAGCATATATATATATATAGATAGATATAGATCTGTTGTTTTACTTAATTTCGTGCTTTGTAATATGACGAAATTATACATGCAAGGGTTTCTTTTCTTCTTTAAAATTAATTATGTCCATCTCATGAACCATATATATACCCTAAACCCTCTACAAAATTAAATTACCTGCACATGTATATATATATATAGGTTTTTTTTTTTTTTTTTATTTTTTATGTGTATATAATTTTAATTCATATGTATGTATGGAAGTGTGAATTTAATATGATGATGGATGGTGCAGAAGGAGTTCTGGATCTGTGTGTTGCTGACCATCCTTGGCTGGATCCCTGGAATTATCTATGCTGTTTATGTCATCACCAAGAAGTGATGCATGTTCATCATCATCCATCAACTCTATTGGGTAAACTCTCTCTCTCGTTTTCTCTTAATTCAGTTTCAAAAAATATGTTAAAATAATTGATTAAACTCAGTATAGTTTTTTTTTTTAACCAAAAAAAATAAAAATAAAAACTTTTGTACTAACTATTTTAAAATCATCTAACCAATACATCTTATGATTAATTCATGTACGTTCATGAACTGTGACCAGTCCATTTTAATTTTACCAAATATGATGAGCTAGACTGGTCATAGAAAAAAAAAACACACACACACAAACTAGTTATAGCACAAGTGAGTAATTTTTAAAATAATAATAATAATAATAATCTAGCATGACATAGATATGTGACGCGCTTGTTTTATTATTTTTTTTTTTTTTGTTTTATTTTTTTGTTTTATTATTATTATTATTTTTTGGCGAAAATCATTTATAAATCAATACCAACCATGAAATGTACTATGTACCATGCATACATATTGTTAAATTTTTTTTTTTTATGTTTTATATATTGACAGCTGTGGGTGGTCTCACATGATATGACCCACCCATATAGTTTAATTTTAATGGTGAGGTGGCCTTATATATATATATATATATATATATATATATATATATATATATATATGTTTATAGAGTAATGATATAAAGTTCAAAAAATAAACATATTTTGAAAAAAAAAATAAATAACATATTTGGAGAATATAAAAAAAAATTGCAGTAAAAAAGATTTGATATAAAGACTGACTGGTATCGTATTCTTTGTTTTTGACAGGTGGATATAAAGGCTACAGTACTAAAGTCATGACTCATGGACAGTGATGGATGGGGTTTGATGATCTGTTTCAGATTGATTAATACTTCCATTAATGCGTGTGTGTGTGTGTGTGTGTGATTAAGTGTTTTTATTTTTCTTCTTTTCTTGACATTGATGTGCTGTAGTAGTAGAGTGGGCTGATGAGCATGATGGACAGGTGGATGGTTGTGATTATGTTTATATGTTGGTTGTGATCAGCAGCCTCTTATTTTCATAAAATTTGTATCCACTTGTATGGATATTTGTGTATGAATGGATTTGTTTCTATTTTAATATTATATAATAAGATTATCTGTTCTTATAGTGATCACTGATGGTCTCATCTCTCATTTGTTTGGAAGTTTTTCCTTTTTATTTTTATTTTTTTATGAACAGATTGTTTGGTAAATTATGCAAGAGAGAATTAAACACATGGATTCTCTTCGTACCATCTCCAATTCTAAATTTAGTAGTTAGAAAAAAAATACAATATTGCTATTTTGTTTGGATTAAATTATGTATAAAATCAAAACATATTGAATACTTAAACAATCGATGACGTCAAATTGGATGTCAAGCATGCGTCATACAATGATCGGGACCACAATGCATTGCAAAGGGAATACATACGACAATAAGATGTTAAGCATTGCAACAAAGTGTCTGATTTTTTTGTTGTAATTTTAAATTATATGTGTTCTCACTTTCAAAATGTACTCATGTTTTTACCTTTCACGTGTGCTCTCGCTCTCATTCTCAGTATCTGTGATTTAATTTTGTTGTTTTTGTGTTTCAGTTCTTGAATTCGCTCTAAGTTTCGCTTTATGTGATTTAAATCGTAACACTTTTAAACTTTGATATTGTAGTATTTTAAAAATATTTATATTTTTAAAAATATTTATATTTATTTTTAACATATTTTTGTATGTATTGAAATGTGGATGAAGCATGTTGAAACGTAAAATATAAATGAGTTGAAATTCGTCACAATATCAAATGCCCTATAGCAAAGGATCCGGCTCCATGCAACAATTATCTTTCAAAACACGTTCCTACTCCACACTGATGAGAAAGGAAGGAAGGAATGGTTGGGCTCCACTTTGGAAGGGTAATTTTGTCATTTTAAATTATTAAAAAGATTAGAGTGAATTACAATCTAAGTTACATGAAACGAGAACAAATTCAATAACGCAAAAGCGACAAAATTAAGTCACAAATAGTGAAAATGCGAGTTAAAACGTGTACACTGAGAACACTCATAACGTAAGAGCGACAATGATTGAAAAGGACTGTATGACTTAAAATACAATCCAAATACCATAACTAACATATGCTATCACGAAAATAATATACAAATTATAAGAATGTCAATAATCATACTCTAATTAAATTATTATTATTAGGTGATATCATATAAATCAATAACAAGATGCAACACGGTCAAAAAGCTAAATAAAGATGACAAATTTATCAGCATGGCATATTTTGATTGACACTATTATTATTATTATTATTTTTATATTTATTTATAGCAAAAAAATCAAGTGCTTGTCATCTTATACTTTCAAATAATTTGTAAATTCTCAACACATGTAATCAACCACAAACTATACATTAGTTGTCGCAATTTTTGGGGCCAATATCCCTCAAATGTTATCCACAATGTTAATGATGGGGAAAGGTTGTTTAATGACATCCGTAGTTTGAAATAAATGACAAGTTATTAAGAAGGGCTTGAAAAGATGGAGGCACCTAAAAAAACACAAGAAAACAAAACAAAAAAAATAGATACACATATAGAATGTATCTAGTCATCCTTGGTAATCTGTTAAAATATGTTACATAGTCAACAAAACCTAGTCATAATGTCGGCCATCACCATTTTTTTATAATCATTATAAACTTGTGAGCTAAGTAACCCTAGTTTTTTTTTTTTTTTTTTTGTCAAAAGCAGAGTACACCTCCAATTTCCAATTGCTCTTCCATGGTAATCTCTATTTCTCGATCAGATGGTGAAAAACTATCATGTAATCACCGACACCAATAACAATAAAAATCAACTTTGAATGATTCGGTATCCCTTAGGGTCACTTTCATATAGTTTTTCGAATAATTATTCATTGCAAATGAGTGTATCTATCCGGTGAATTGTGGAATGTTCTAAAAAGCCCTTTTAGTCAGAACTCAACCCATGCAGCAATAATTTTATCTCTGTCGGTATTCAACTGGCTTGTGTTAAGTACCTTGACAACAAGCATAAAACTTTTTTATGACCAATATTGAACATGGTGGTTGTAGTAATAATTCTAGATTGGTCCAAGAGTGAGATGGTCAATGATTCTTTTATGCTTGAGTAATGCTATTTAGGCTTGTTTATATGGCCGAGTAGTGTACGGTTACGATGCAGTGGATAAATTCAAAATGTGGATCCCATCAACCACATCAAAGGAATAGAAACCCTACAAATAGGTTTGAAATATCCAAGAATCATTTTACTTTGTATTGTAAGGACTGTTGAAATTAATTTTGGAAGATTAGAGGGGAAAAATAAAATAAAAAAAAGAAAACAATTATCTTTACATGTTTGACTGTGAGAGTCCACCCATCATCCTTAAAAAACCACAAGGTAAAAAGGGAGCCATTGAAAAGGAACCCCATCCATAGCAAGAGGATTGAAAATGTTAGCAGCTATATTTGGAGCAAAATCCAATTACTAAAAGAATTGCACTGGCCAACACAAAAAGCAAACATACCCACATGCTTTAGTGAGCGTCAGTACCCTAAAATCAGTAACAAAATGTGCACCACATGTCATGGCAGAAGCAAATTTCTAAGTATCACACATGCATAAGTTCATGAGATACCCACTCTTAGCCCAATACTACTCTAGTTTATCAACTGTCGAGTAGGATTACCAAGGGCTGTAGCCTAAGAGCACCGTCTAGACTTTTAAAGTGGAAGGTCGAGCGTCCAAGTCCGGTAGGAGCAAAATGGACGTGTGAGTTTCAAAAAGGAAGGGGGGAAAAATTGTCGAGTAAAATTCCTTTTGGTGGGGGCTAGGATTCCTATCTTCTATAGGTACCCTATTCTTTTACATCCACAGGGAACACAACATGTTTCAGTAAATCATGCTTGCTTTCCAAAAGATGGTGCAAAAAGAGGGCACTCAACTTTGAAGGCCACTAACTAAACCTTCAATAGAGTCCGGCGAATAATTAACAAATGTTTGCATAAAAAGACTTGAAACAAACCATTAGAAATTGAACTTTGAAAATGACAGCAAAACCTAGTTTTACATCTAATCAATGTATTCTAAAATAAAGAGATGGGAAGGGGGGAGGCTGGGATACAAGAAACTCGTACAATTTGATTCATTCTTTGAACTGCCATTCCCTACGGCACATCGGGCAATGTGCTTGAGTTGTCTGTGAATTCACCCATTTCAAGATGCAATGAAGATGAAACGCGTGATTGCATGCGCCCCAGACTGCAGCAAAATAAAAAAATATTGATTAACTGAATCGGTACCATATCTATCAATCAGAGCGTATTTACTACAAAGATATATTGTTTTAACTAAAGAATAGGAAAAAAAAAGAGACAACCTCCTATAGAAAAATGCTTTTGACAAGAGAGAGAGAACTATGTTCTTGAAAGAAAAGATTTCGCTTTATTGATGTGGAATTTCGTGGGGCTTACTGGCAATACATAAGCTCAACTCATGGTTGTTGCACAAGCCAAACATATGAAGCTCAATTTAGTGTTCTTTAACCAATAAAGTATACAAGATGTGATCAATACAGATACTCAAATCAGACAACTTTAGCATGGATATCCAAAGCAGACACCTTTTATTTTAACTTACAAATAGAATGGCCATTATGGACATCAGTGGTAAGCCTCAACACACCAGATAAATCTATTGTTGCTGAACAAAATCTGCAAATGTCCGTTAAAAAAAATACTAATAATAATAAATTACCACTAATAAAATTAATCCCTCACAAATAATTGAATACATGAATCCTATTTTTATGTAACAAACCCTACTCACAATATTGGAATTCCAATTTTATAGGATGCTCAAACATGTCCTAATTGATTCCTCATTATACATATACTTTTGCAGCACACTCATCCAGGATACGTCCCTACAATTATTAATGAAAAGAAGGTGGTTATTCCCAACAGATATTAAGATTAAGAGAGGGGCAAAAAATCACAAGCTAGATTTGACACCAAAATGAAGTGCTTATTCAACTTATCCAACGAAACTTTTGACCTGGACAACACTATAAAAGGTAGCTTCCTCGAAAATCATATGAATATCCAAATTAGAGCCTATTCTTTTCTTTTCCTTTTTCCAGACACAGCGTGAGCATTCAATCAATTATAACAGGAAATCATTCTAAAAAGGGCATCCCTTGTAAGTTGTAATCATTGTATTTACATAGTTGTCTATAAGTACTATTCAATAAAGAGAAGCTGCACATGTGGCTCCCATTATCAAAAATTTCAACTCCAAAACACTTTTAAGTTGCTTAACCATGAATCTCAAAATTTAATCTCCATTTTTCTTTAAATTCAACCAAACACACCGTTTTAAACTTTGATCCCACACTTGTAGTCAAATGAAATGGCACACTTTAACTTGAATTTGAATGTCAGAAACAAATCAAGAACCCGGAAAGTCAGGTACATGTAGTGAAAACTGAAGGAGGGCTAGCCCAATGCACCAGGCTCCCGGCCGCCATTGCAGGGTCTGGGGAGTGTACATCTAGTGAAAACTGAGCTACATATTTATGGATTAGAGGAAGAGTAGCCAAGGAAATGGAAGTGTCCTCTTCAAATGTTTGCTATTTACTTATAGTGAACTAGTAATTTAAAGAGATGCGACTTTTGACTGCATCCTATAATACAGGTGTCCTATAATTGACAAAGAGATGCAACTTTTGTTCTTCATTAATCTAGAACTTGAGCATATAAATGTTGAAATTGATCTATAAAGCAAAAAGTCTAACTAACAAAATGAGTCCCAGTGTTTTTGAAATGGGTGAATGGATAAGAAGTTGTATTCTTAAAGTTACTATCAATTCAACGAATTAGAGACAGGCGTGGTGGGGAATAAATAACACTGACTTCACACTAAAAATGGACTGAAAATGTTCATTAAAAAACATCGTACCAGTGTTGGTTAGTCACTTGAAACCCATTGAAAAGCAAAAAAGCAAAGCACAAACAATTAAGTAAATTAATTAAGCAAAGAAGCAGAAACGCTCAGAAGAAAAACCAGATAAGTGATGGGTTCACTTCAAATTCAGCAATTACAGCTCAAATCAATCAATCAGAACAACCAAAGAAGTAACTAATAGTTCTAATAGCACTGACAGACACTAAGGGAAGCCCATAAGAAATGCTGAGGTAACAGCCTGCAAAAGCCAATGTAGGACTCTTAACAGCCAATACCAATATGAGTTTCACACTCTCTATATAGCAGTCTTCAATGAAATAGAGCCTGGGGATACATCAATGTAAGGGTGTTTAGTTATTGCAATTACTAAAACCATGGGTCACTCCTACTGTGTCTGCATGTGTATTTATGCAAAGATATGCATGTGCAAGCATGCAAAGACACACACACACACACAAAAATAGGATAATAAAAAATGCAATGTGAAGATAGGCTCAAGCTAAGACTCTGCTCGTGAGCATAATGATACAAGTCTGCCTAACTGTGAGACTGACTCGTCAAACAGAGACGAAAGTCAGCCATGGTGATCGGGGAGTCCCCTGTAAAAGGGATCTCACTCAACGGATCAAAGGTACGCCAGGGATAACAAGCTGATGACTCCCAAGATCTTTTATCAATGGAGTCATTTGGCACCTAGATGTCGAAAATGCCTTGTAGTAAGGGTGACCTAAAGCCCCTTTCTGAATAGGAAGGCACATGGTATCAAAAGATATCCAGTAAAGTTTTCTTTTGTCTTCATCACCACCCCACCAAAAGTTAGCTTAAATTTCTCCAACTGGTCGAGAACTTTCGTTGGAGCAAGAATCCACAAGAAGGTGTGTAAGCCTCTAGGAGAGAGGTTCATCAATCAAGTGGATCTTTATGCTCCAGGGTGGTGAGATGAGGTGTGGCGCAATCTGCTCAGCACATCTGCAACCCAAAACAGAGGGCCATAGGTTCTAATCCCGTCACCTGAGGAAGTATCGGATTTCCAAATCCCCCCACCAACCTACCATCATTAATATTAATGCTGTCTTGCTTTGTGAAGAAGATCCAAAGTTCAGTGAAGGAATGCATGAATTTAGCCAAGGCAATCACTGCAGCAAATCTACCCCTTCTACTCTCTATCCTACCTACCACGAGAAAAGAGGTTGAAGCAACGAAAGGCAACAACTATTTTGCCTATGCTGTGGTTTTACTAACTCTTTTTTTCAACTGATAGGCAATTTCTCTCATTGAAACAGGATGATGGTAATTCGTAGCCCACCTCTTTACTGTCAAGGATCGCACTGACGCCTTCCACATCTGATGATAACAGGACATTGGAACACTCCTCCACTGAAGCACTGTCTTGATTGATCAGCAAATCTCCCAACCAAAGAGTGAGATACAGGCTAGCACACCCCTAAACTACAAGCTTGAATGCCCCTAACAATATATATTTTAAAGTGAAAGAAGGCTGCCCTATTGATCGTCACTCTACCACGCATGACAACAAATTTATTTATTGATCTAAAAGGAAGGACATTTTCTTGTCCCACTTCGCAAGGAATTAGGTTAAAATTTGTGAGTTCCAAGGTCTAGCATGTGAGATAGAGCATGGGTGTCAGAGCAACCTCAAAGCCAAAACCAAGACGAGTTGTTGGAGTGCAGTGGATATATAATCTGTGGAGGAAGTTGACAGCGTTGGTCGGGCCACGTAACCAGATCAAGCAAATACTTCAACGGGAAATATAGTTAAGTGGTGCAGTCTTGCAGAGGATGGGGAAAACTATATTGCATGCTAACATCCCCAAGTTTGAAGGAAAAAAAAGGTCTACTAGAAAAACCCTTGATTTGCATGTATCTTCCATGTAAACAAAACACCAGAATTAAAGCTGGTAAAAAATATTATATATATATATATATATATATAAAAGTGATAGTAAGGACTGAAACCCAAAGCTCTGACGAAGGGTTGTGCAATGTCCGTGATCTAGAACTAGAGGGGGATTAATAGGTCTTGTAGAGCTAATTACTGAAATTAACAACTTTTTGAATTTAAAACTAACTTAACAAAAATTTAAATTCAATTCAAAGCAAAACAGATAAAAGGTAAAGCAATAGACACCACAGATTTTTACGTGGAAACCCCAAGGGAAAGATCCACGGAAACTATTGCAGCCAAATCAAAATCCACTATGTGAGAAAGAGAGTACAACTTAGGTTCAATTGACTCTAGTTACCACCTAAGACAGATGAAGCCAAACTTCCCCCGAAAGTTTCCAGTCCATTCTAGTCATCAACAACATTTGCTCCTCACGAATCTGCTTCTTTAGTGCTTTCGGCCTGAGTCATTAATCGTCAAGGCTTCAATCTCTGATGAAGGATTGAATGATTGTGTTGAACTTTTTCGAAAAGCTTGATCAATCGAAATTCCCCTCAATCTATCAACAATAACCCAGAAGCCCTCAATCGTTCAAAATCTACCGCAATTCAATATTAGAAAGCTTCTCAAAACAGAAGTTTTCAAAAACTCTTTTTCTCTTTTAATGCATGTTTTGAAATATTTAGGGAATCAAATATGATTAAAATCATGAAAACTTGGATACCTTAACTATGCATGAATGAACCCTAATTTGGTGAATGCACTAATGTGCTAAATTGTTTTTTTACCCTTGAAGACAAAGATTACTGAAATTCCCTTGAATGTAGCTTTCAACTCCTCCTCGACCTCGGGAGGTAAGAACTAACTCCAACTCTTGAAAACTCTAACCAAGATAGAAATTGAAACAACAGTTATAGACTCCAGTTTTGTTGTACAAAATTTGCCTAAGTCCAATTGACCTAACAGTGGGGTAAAACAAATTTTTAATAGAAAAATGGAGGAGACAACTTTTGTCTTTCTTTTTCCTTGAAAGGTTGTAGATAACACCCAATTTCAGGTAATTTTTTTTGAGGTGCACACTATAGCATAAATCACAGATCAAAGCTTGTAACATAAATTCCACGTATTGGAGTATGGCTCCTAAAATTGACACAACGCATTTCTTATGTCTCGTGTACCATTTCTTAAATGACTTTTGCGACTTCCTTGCAAAGGTCAAAACACTTGTAGAACTCACTGATGGAGCACCTAAACTGCTGACCCCAGTCATCTAGGATAAAGGCAGGGATGATGATGAAGTAGGTCCTAAATTTTGAATTTCAATTATATAAATGAGAAATTACATATGAATATTAGCGACACTTAGAAAACATGATGTCTAGGCATTTCGAAAATAAAGCCAGTGACTTACTAAGTGGGCAATCATCCCCAGGGAGTTTACAATCAGGGCAACAACCATCAAATGCCATCCTACAAATACCACATGTTTCATCCTGGGCGTCCCAAGTCCATGAAGCAACAGCATGCCACCTATTAATAGAGAGGGGGACATTACTACTCCTTACCATATTCAATGTCAGACATCTAGCAATGTAATAATTGATAAGAGATAAAAAGTACATACTCTGCTCATTACCCCGGCATTGTTTCATTCAGGAGTCAGTCAAAGGAAAACTAATTCCAAGAAAGCTCAAAAAAATGTCACGTTTGCAATAAATGATTTCAAGAAGTTCCAATCTTTGAATGGAAAACAATCTGTTAGTCCTCTTATTAACAATTAAACCAGCCCCATCATTGCACAAAAGAGATTCTCTAAATAATAGACAATTTAATCATAACAAATAATAACACTGACCGTACAAGTACAAAATTGAACTATAAAACTAAATACTAAAACAATTGAAAGAATATGCCGAAAACATTAATTGATGCACAATGAATTGTATAATAATTTGAACTCGTTATTACTCTGCGTTAGATCAATAGGACTTATGTTGACAAATATCGTGATCAAAACTAAAGTCTGTAATTTTGTTTTAAAATTTTTGGTCAAGCTGGTTACTAAAAGTTAGTGACTGCCATGATAGTTACCTCTAGGTTAAGTTCAGTATGTACAATGATTTAACTGAATTCCTATGAAAACTGAAACGATATACGTATAATGATTTTGCTAATCTACTGAATTGATATACAAAAAAAATCTTGATTTTGATTTTGATCTTGACTAGTTTTTTGTTGTATATTTCCTATGCGTTATATTTAATATTTATATCACATAAATGCCTTAATTCAATCAGGCTCGTGCCTAACGTTGCGTCTTGCTCTTAGCTCCAAGAGACCTTAGCATTAGTGCTCCTTGAATCTTTAAAAACTATTCTAGTGTGGTATTTTCAAGTTACATAGCTAGTTTACCACCCAGAAAGCACACAAATCAACTTGAATGATACAATATGTTGATAGATAGGCCATGCATTATAGTATAGCTAATCCTCTATGAATGTATACCATGCTCACAAGGCAATCATAGCAGAGATGAGGAAGTTAAATTGGATCAACAGGAACACCAACAAAGAGTATACAGTAAACAAATCATGTGGAACCGAGCCACAAGAGAAGAAGTTATGATGGAGCATGTTATGATATGGTTTAGAAACATTCAAGGAAAACCACAAGGGCAATGCTGATGAGAGGATGTATAAGTTGCAACGTGGAGATTGGAGACATTGAAATGAAGGAACTAAGCAGGGAGGTGGGTGCCACGTGACAATCACGAATATAAGATTGAGGGGAAAAGCTGGCCTCCTAGAGGAGGAATGGGGCTACAAGAAGATGTGAAAATGAAAGCTGAATATAATAAAGGAACACGATGGTAAAGAAAAATATAATAGAGAAACACAAAGCTAAGTGAATGTTTGATTGACAATTTGACATTTGAGAAAGTAATTTCACCACATCTTAAAGCTACATTCTCTTTGTTTGCCTAAAAAATCAAGAAAAAAGTATTCATGAAGGCTTCATTTTTTGAGAACTTTTTCCTGCTTCAAAAGAATCAAAACCAAAAATGAAATTGTCATACAAGAAAAGAAGTAAAACTTCCAAAAATCATTTTCAGAAACTCGAATCCATGAGTTCATTACAAAATGAAAGGGAAACAACAACAACCATTCACCATGTTCATATTTAAGTTAAAAGTGAAAATGATCAAAATGGAAACATAAAAAACCAGTCCTCGGCCTTTTGGATCTTTCAACTAATTATGTACACCATGGATAGGGAACCAAAACCATTTATATCTGACAACAAACCAAGCCCAATGAAAGTGACCAAAACTAAATACAAGAATTTGGGAACACAGATACTCACATTTTAGATAAAATAGCCAAAAAAATAGCATGAAATTCACTAATTATTTTTAAGGGAGAATAAACAAATGTTCAGGATATCTGCAAACAAAATCCCAATAATAATATGAGGGTAAAGGTTTATTTTATTATTATTATTGTTATTTATTTTATTTTTTTGGTTGCGAGTGTTAGTAGCAGCTTTAGATTCCGTAAGCAGGAACTAAGTAATTCAGCAATAATTTAAAATAATGTGGCAAATGCTCCATCCAACTAGGCTAACGCGCTTTAATACATAGGAGTATAATTTCTCCTCATCCAACAAGTTAAACCACTAGAGGTTATTGTCCTCCCACCACAAAGTGATCTAATTAGATAATAAAAAATAAAATAAAATAAAATAAAATAAAAAATAAAAAAATAAAAAAGAAAAAAAGAAAACAATCAGCAGGATGAGCTAACAAGAAGAACAACATTCAGCTAATATATATGCATGTAGCGATTTACTAAAAAAGTGAACAAATATCACAAGAAGGATACGTAATAGCTTGACTTTCATTTTTTTTCCACCTGCAAAACAAAAAAACCCATGAATTGCAAATAGAATTATGAAGCGCGAAATATTCTCTCTCCTAAAGATACAAGTAAAGCAATGCAACCATACAACAACTCGAAAAACTCACTAGTTAAAGAAAATAAGCAAGAGTCACTTCTTCAGGCTCCATTAGGTTATCAGGAAAGATAGGGGAACAGAAAGAAATTGTCAAAGTAGCTTTTGTTCTTAAAGAAATTTCGTTCTTTATTTTGCTAATTTTTAGATAACCAACCAGAAAGTCAGACAAAAAAATAAGGATTCCAGATAATCAGCAATCACCAATATTTTAAATCCCAATCAACCATTAAAATTCACAATTGAGTCCTGGTTAGTGAATCGACTGAATGAATGTACTATGTATTTTCATGCATGAAAATATAAATACATATAAATGTGTGTGTGTGTGTGTGTGTAGACTATAATTTTTGGGAGGGACTAATGAAAATATAAATACATATATATGTGTGTGTGTGTGTGTGTGTGTGTAGACTATAATTTTTGGGAGGGACTATTTCCCCAACAGAATATTCTATCAACATTCTTCCCACTCCCATATTTCAGATATAGTGTGGGAAGAGTGTATATGCCTGAAGAAAGTTGATACATTTGGGAAAATAGCATTCCCTAAAAATTAGGGTTTATTCCGCTGTTATAAATATATATTTTTAAATGAGAGGATACAAAATGGGTTGGCCTTCTCAAACTCTATTTCCATTCATTGGCCTTGTACCAAGAGTTTTCAAAGCTTGGACCCTGTGCACTTTGTGAGGCTTCTTTTCTTATGCCTAACCCAGCCTAGTGCTGTGATAGCTAAGTCTTTCTTTGCCAACAATAAGCATCGAGTCCCTCACTTCACCCTCCCTTTCAAATGTTATACCAACACTGTTTTGGCATTGTCTTCAAGCTATAGTCACGGTTTCAATGTGGATGCATAACTTCCACTAAAGTGACACCACATATAGACCATGAAACAAGTTTTGGTCATGGAATATGCCAGCACATGACACTTTTTCCTAACAATACAATATAAGATCTACAAATACTAATTTGGTATATCTAAAATTCTACATTTATCATTGGTCAGTTAAACTAATAGAATGACACTGAGTTTTTGTAAACTATCAATTCCTATCTTTCAACTCTTTGGTCTAGCATAGTCGTGACTAATGAAAAGTGAAGCTTGCTTTCATCAAAGATAATTCGGCAAGGAAATCAACATTTGAGAAAAAAAGGGCCTTGATGAAGGTTTGTGAACTTAGTGCCCTGTGCTGCACTAATGCAAATGCAGTTAAATGTAATGTACTAGTCTCAAACCAAGATTCTGCCAAACATCTTGATTGTCCAACTTGTGCCGATTTCAATCATCACTTAACAACATGCATGTGAATAAATCTAAATCACTTGCTAAATTTGAGCAACAAGTCTAACAATTTGACTTCAATTGGTTCTTAAGAGAGTAAACCTAAAAGCAACATAAGGGACAAGATTTTCTCAATTGCTTTGGAGTGCACTTGTACTGAAGGGCTTGGGATAAAAAGAAGGAAAATAAGATTTATCCTACATGGTGCTTGGTTCTAAAGGAGGTATAGCTTAACCCCCTAAAAAGTGTTTTTGCTACCCATCCAAAAATGGAAGAATAGGAGAATTGTGGTTATCTATTTTCTTCTCGTTCTGTAACAAATGAATTCATGCTTTGACCATTCAGGAAATGAAACAACCATTTCTTTTTTATTTATTTATTTTATTTTTCGTAAAGAGTATTTTTTCCAACACTATGAAGTGGAATCAAAATCCTCTCCAATAACGATTCCCCATGGTTCCCTGTTGGTGGTGAATTTCACCAATATTAATGGTGAATTTCACGACTATAATGGTGAAATTTCACAGTGTTTGTATTTGCTTATAGGTGAAATTTCACCATTATAGTAGTGCAATTCACCATTAATAGTAGTGAAGCAGCAGGAATTAGCGGAAATGTCGTCCTAACTTCTCTTTTCTCTCCTTAATTATCTAAAAACACAAAAGGATATAAACATTGTCCTCTCATTCTTTTCTTCCGTCACAGAAGACATAACTCTCTTTTCTTTTCCCTCCCTTAGTTTTTAGATTTCTAAACAACCAAATAAAAGGTAACTATACTCGAACAAGAAAGAGGCGTCAATTTAGATATACAAATAGTGAGGTAAATAATCCAAAGCATTTGATCTTCAAAAATAAATAAATAAACATAAAACACAAATTGGGTGGAGAAAACGTATAATGGGATCATTTCTTCGAATATATATATATATATATATATATATATATATATTAGCGGGAAAAAATCATTCAAGATCCACAAAGCAAATAAATAATATCGGAGTACTAAAAACCCTCATATTACTAACCGCAATCGTAAAATGTTAGTCAATAATTGAAAGAAACCGGAGAGAGCAATACCTTAAAACGCGGTTTACAGTGAGAAGATACAGAGACTCGGAGAGAGAGGATCGATCAGAACACGTATTATAGCGATTAGCGAATCAACGACGGAGACTGGAGTGAATAACGTCCAGTGTAATCTTTAGGTAGTTTGGCCTGGGCAAAGTTTTTGCTGCAGGAATATTTTAGAAAAAAATTAAAATCGAAACCATATTTTACTGTAAAAATGTGAGAAATAGAAATATGCAAAATATGCTTCGTAGGTCATGTTTTTCGAGAATTTCAAAAATAAAACATGTTTAGTTTCAAGAATTTTGAAATTGTTTTACAACTGGTTAAAACACAACAATTTTAGCCAAACATGTTTTGAGCTTGAAATGGATTACTACAGTGTAACAGAACTGCAACAAAACAGAACAAGTGTCAGACAGACTCTTACTCTTTGATTAATTGGATGAAATATCTTAACTATAAGGAATTTTCTAGGGGAGTAAAATGTACTAATTTTTATAATTAAAGAATAAACATAATACTAGGGTAAAGTGAAAAAATAATAATAATTAATAACTCCTAAACTAAAAATTGTGCCTTGAACTATTGATTTGTTGTAATTAAGAATAAATTTATTACAAAAAAATTATTTTACCCTTTCTAAATATATTTTTCATTTCTTATTATATTATTTTTATTATCTTTTCTTTATCTAAATAAAAATAATACTATTTATCTTAATTTTATTATTAATATCAATTTATGATAAAAATAAAAATAAAAAATAGATTTGTAACTATCATTTTCTTAAATAATTAATTTATAATAAAACTTATTATATTTTGTTTAAATTTTTTATCATATTCGTACTTTCTTTTTCTTACAATATATTGATTAAAATTTAATAAATTACTTAAATAAAAAATACCTTTTTTTTCATGTAATATATTCATGGAGACTTAGAAAATTAATTAAATTGTTTTAAAAATTTCTACTTAAAATTTTTAGACTTAGAAAATTAATTAAATTGTTTTAAAATTTTCTACTTAAAATTTTTATTTAAAAATTTAAAGGTAACTTTATGCAAATTTAATGGAGAATATGTCATTAAATTAGTATGATTTATTTTTCATAATTTACTTCAATAAGAAAAATAGATTGAGTGTAATTCAATAAGAAAGTGCATTATAGTCATTTAATGAAATATATTATAAGTATTGTGGTATTTTGCCGCAAAGTATAATAGTTCGGGAGGTATTATGAACCAAATATAGTTTAGGGGTTATTTGCAAATACAAACATAATTTAGTTGGGTGTTTTGCACTTTACCCTAATACTAGTAAGTAATAAATAGTAATTATTTAACTTTTACATACCCAATTTTTTTAAAAAAAATTAAAATTTCCCATCCAGAAATAAATAAAAGCATAATTTTCTTTTTTATTTTTTTTATAAAGTTAATATGGTCAAATTTCTAGTGGGCTTACATAACCAAAGTCCTCCAAGCAGTCAAACATAAATTTGGAGATTATTGATGACCGCGCCACGATAGCTGACTAAGTGGCGCCACCTCTGCAACATAGGCACAACTGGCCAGTGCTGACCTGGCGTGCCCACGGTGGATTAGGTATTCTCGAGCTACCTATTCAATAACGGAACTCACTGGTCGAGGGAGTGGTCACTACCCTTCCTCTACTGTGGACGCGCCCCGCTCCAGTCGGATGGGCTCCTCCCCCCCCTGGTTCGCTCGAGGGTGCTGTAATACCCCTAATTTTCAAAAGGATAGTCTCGGTAATTTGTTTAATTGTTTTATGTTCATTAATTATTTTTGTGTTTTGAATTATGTTTTAATTGACTTTTTAATGATTTGGTTTACTTGACTTATTTGTGTTATTTGAATTAATTAGTTAGTTTATTTGTTTTCTTTGGTTTACATTAATTGTGATAATTGTGATTATTTAAGTTAATTGTTTTAATTATTTATTTGGCTTTAATTCTCTGTAAATTGTATGTTATTTTCTGTTTTACGGTTAACTGGGAATTTTTATTGTTTCTTTAATTGAATTAGTAGTTAACTTGGATTTTTTTATTGTTTAATTAGTAATTACATGTTTTAATTTGTGACTAGGTATAAAAGTGTGGTTAGGGTTTTAGTTCTGTTTAGGTTTAGGTTTATTTAAGGAGCCGACAAGGTTTATAACCTAGGTTGAGTTTATGGGCCTCGTTTCAGACGGTAGGTATAATTGGACTTAGGGTTTTGGTTGCCTATAAATACATAAGAAAAGTCTGCTTAGGGAACAAAATAATACAACCAAAACACGTCTGTGGAATTAGAAACGAGGAACAGAGGAAGTTGCAGTAGGAGTCGTCGGAGATTGTAGAAGACAACGTAGTGCTTTTAACAAAAATCTCACAAGGCAAGTTCTAACCTTACTCTCTCCCTTATACTCGTGTTCTTTGCATACTCAATGGTTCCAGGATGAATTACATGTTTAAAACTAAAACAAACGTTATCTGTTTCATGCTTAGAGTGTAACTGAAACTGAATTTGGTTTAAAATTTGTAAACTGTTTAACTTTGAACTGTCTTATTTACTTCTTGGTTTAATCCATATTAGTAGCATAATAAGGACTGAGTTAGGGACTGGAATCTTCTAGGATATGTGAAACTCTCTGAAAACCTCTACTGTGAAGTGTCGGAGGCGTAAACGGCGACCGGAGAGGAGAACACGAAGAAGAGGAGGGAGAGAGCCGGCTCCTATTGGATTGGAGGCGGCTCCCCTTGGACTGGAGGCGGCTCCAATGGTCTAGGAGCCGGCTCCAGGGCCATTGGAGGCGCCTCCAATATTCTGGAGCCGGCTCCAGGTTGTTTATGCGTGAGTTTTGATTCTGTGGGTTGTTTTTCCAAATTTTTCCAGTGATTAGGCTTCCTAGTGATTGTTTTAATGTGTTTATTGGTGAATGAATACTGTAATGGGTGATTTAGGAGTGGTCTAGGGTAAACATAAATATGCAAATACCAGATTAACATAAAATTGGACACAAAGCGTTAATTACGAAGGTCTGGTAGACTGTGTAGATTTGGAGTTTCTAATTTCTTAATTATATTAGAAATTTTCTGTGAGAGCTTGTCCACTCGAAAAATATGTTCATGGAAATAGAAACTATGTTAAAAATTTATATTTCACTGAGAATTAGTTGATGATTAAATTTAACGGTTAGTGCGGCAAGTTGTTGGACAGGAAACTATAAGTATAATAGATTACTTATATTTATTCTGCATGCTATAGATGTGAGTGGAAAAATATCTATTTAGGCTCTGTTAATTCTATGGAAACTGGGAATAGGTCATCATTATAAATAAAGCCCTGTATGATCAAATTATGGATTCTGAATTGGCTTACTTAAGCATGTTTGTTAATCTGTTCTAACATGTTTAGTTTGGAACTGTTGGTGTTGACATTTATATGGTCCTTATTTTGTCAACAATATGCATAGTAAGGAGTAGTTGACATTGATATTTTTATTTTCAATGTGAATCAATTATTGGTATTTTTAAGAATGGTTGCTAATGCATTCTCTTATGTTTAGTATGGAATTGTTGATATTGCTGTTATAATTATCGATGCTTTATCAACTATTGGACGGATTGGATTGTATGTACCGGTATGGGACGGTGACATACTGGGTTTGGATTAGCTCAAATTGCTAAGTCCTACCTATTTTGGAGTAAGGGCACGGGTTATAAAATACAATCCTCCTTATATATATAAGTCGGTACGGTTGAATACGCCGAGTGACTTACTGGATTTCTTGTGGATGGATAGAAACGGAGTTTAGATATATTTTTATGTTACCGTGTCATGAGCTTGAGTCTCAGTGTCGACGGTTAGGGTGCGTATATGCAGTTGGATGTGTAGCTGACTGTGAAGGTTGAGGTATACCCTGTTTAGGTTTAGGTACTCATACCCACTCAGGTGCGTATTGTGTGATGCCTTCTATCCAGGTTGAGACCCCCTTCATGGCCTAGCGAGAGTCCAGTAGTGTGGATATATTTATGTACGGATTATTAGTTATTGTTGAACTATTTAGTATGTACATGCGTATCGAGTCTCTGCTTGGATTGTAGTAGGTTAGAACTTGTTCGTGGGCCTGACCCACTCCTATTTTTCAGGTGTACGTCAGTTCCAGGCTTGAGCTTGTTCGTGCAGAGCAGAGACGATCTTCCATTCTACCGAAGATGTAGGGTTTCTTTCCAGATCTTGGATTTGGGTTTTATCTTTTATTTTACTTTCATTTAGTGTGAGACTTTTATTAGGGGTCCACTAGAAATGGATTCCCGAGTTGTTCAAATTATGGATATTTGGTTTATCAAATTTAAGTATTTAATTATTTAAGGATTATCTTTTAGTTTCTTTTCAGCTTTAAACTTTCATTTCTTAATTCATTTTGTATTCTGTGTTCGCTATAAAATATTAATTGTTTGATACTCCCTCGGGTTTGGGCCTGGGCCTGATCAACCCGTGTCTAGGATCCGAGGGGTATCACAGGTGCTCTCTGAAAGAGCAACTTTGACTAACCTGTGTACACGTCTCCCTTCTTGGCAAAGAAGACCTTGGGATAAAACTGGGATGGGAACTTGTGAGGTCATGAAGGTAGGACCTCGAAAAGGGCCTATCCCCACTGAAGCACGGGAATCTGAGGACATGTGGATAGGTGGCTGAGATTTAAGGGGTTGCCTTAGTCCGATGCCAGCACGAGGGGGAAAGGATACCCGATATCTAAGCTCGAGCGATAAAGGATAAGCAATGCATTAATTGCGAAAGACATTTGATAAGATCCGCATTAATGAGGGTGCGCCGTTACCTCCTTTATCCGGGGGGCAAAGCGCCGCGGCCCATCCATCAATGTCTCATCCGTCAGAGGAAGAGACCATTAAACCTGTGGATAAGAGCGGGCTCAGCTAAAGGACCAAAAGACATTGACCGAGGAGGAAAACACTATAAATAGGGGTGTTAATCAGCCTTAAACACATACAACCATCACATTAACTCTTATCCTCTGACAAGCTCGAGGTTGCATGGTACCGAGATCGGCCTTCCCTTTCTTAATCTCCATACCTAGAGAATCATTTGTGTTGTGTAATACCCCTAGTTTTCAAAAGGACAATATTATAATTTAAATTTTATTCTATGTGCAATTTTCTTTTGATTTTGTGGCTAGGTGCTTATGTGTCAAATTGTTTATGTGTTTGATTTTATTTTAAATTAATTGTTTGTTTTATTTTGTGGATTTAAATAGATTATTTTATTTACTTGTATTTTTAATTGATTTAATTGATAAATTGTTATTTAATTGACTTGTTTGATTATTTCTTTGTATTTTTGTTTTCTTTAATTAAATTAAATAGTTTTTAATTGTGTAAATGTTTTATTGGTTTTTGAATGGAATTAATTGGATTAATGGAATATTCCTAGTTGTAATGAAAAATAGGGTTTAGTCTCTTACTATCTCACGCCGACTAAACTGGGCCTCAATTAGGTTTTCTATGGTGGATTAAGATTAGGCTTAGGGTTTTGATTAGTGCCTGTATATATACTGCAGTATGTATTCAAAAAGGGTTGAGAACCCTATATACGTACCATGTTGATAGAGAGAAAAACAGAGAGAGTGACAGAGAGTTACAGGGAGAATTACAGAGAGAGATAAAGGGAGGAAGTCTAGGGTTTTGCCTTAGGCTAGGGTTGAAACAAGGAGGAGGAGGAGCAGTGGTTGGCTCGTGGATAAAACCAAGAGCAACAGAGGTGGAACGGTCGTCGGAGATTTCATCGAAAAATTCAGAGACGGTTAAGGCAATTTATGTTCTTTCTCTCTCCCGTTGGCCTGTGTTCTGTGCATCCTTAGATAATCTCTAAGGTTTCTAAATTGATTATTAAATTGAACCTTACCTGTTTATTATATGTTAAATCAATTATTTTGTATGCGTAAATTAACTTTGTTACAGTTCATGCAAGGATGGTTTGGTTACAGTGTTTGTTTTTCTTAAGCATGGTTAATCGGTAAAAGTTCTAAGGTTTTTATTTAAAACAAACTGACTTACGTAAGGGGTGGGATGATTCTGGACATACTTAGGACTTTTAGGAAGAGTTTTAAAAATAAACAGAAGGGTAGGAAGTGGCCGGAGATGTAGCAGATGACACAAAACGAATAAGGAAGCGGAACAGTGGGCTCAAAGGAGGAGAGAGCCGGCTCCAGAAGTTTGGAGGCGGCTCCCCCCTTTTTTTGAGGCGGCTCCAAATTCTTTTTGGAGGCGGCTCAAACTACTTTGAGCCTACTCCAAAATTTTGGAGCAGGCTCATTTCAAATTTTGACATTTTGATATATTTTTTTTACGAACTATTGTTCCTGTTTGAGCATGGGAACTGTTCAAATGGTTCTAGGATTTCACAGAGGAATTAGGAAGTTAATTTTGGGTGTTATAAAGACCTTGAATTGATTAAAGTTGGCCTTTAAGTCAATGGGACAAATAGTATGAAATTATTGAACTTTCTACGCTGCTAACGGATAGAAAAGATTAAATTGTTAAATCTTGTTTTAAAAATTTAACGGATTGTAGCATGGACTCTAAACATGATATTAGGCTATACTAGAGCCACATTAAATAAATTAATGGCTTTGCACTCTTGGAGTTAATAGTAGGAAAGTATACAGTGGTGCCGGCTGTTAACGGATGAAAGGGGTTTAATTGCCTGATTTAATTTTAGCAAATTAACGGATTATATATATATATATATTCATAAATTTTATTTTTTTGTTGCATGCCAGGGTCATTATATATCATGTTTGATCTATGCATACCTTGGATGTAAATCGTTGGAAACATTGATTCTGTACTGCGATACATGGAATTAAGCTTGGGATTTTAATTGTTGTAATATTTAGCACTACACTGCAATTATTGGGATTAGGGTTTGGACTTAAATTGCTGAATTGGTACTTAGGTTCTGTTAACCTAGTTGGAGGTTGACCTGAAATTAATTGAAGAATTAATTATATATATTTTCTGTCAATTTCTTGGATGGATGCTGGATAATTAACTTGATGAACTATTAAACCTTGTCTTGTTAGTTACGGGGATGGATTCTGGTTTATAGATGATGAATTGTTTAGATTCTGTTTATTATCTATTTGGATTATATGGATGTGTTTGATGTACTGTATAAAATGTTGCATCATTTGTGGATCACTTGCATTATATGTACCGGTATGGGACGGTGACATATCAGGGATGGATTAGATTAAAAAGTTAAGTCCTACCCCTTCATACATACGGAATGGATTAACTAAAACAGTTAACTCCTACATGGATGCATGTCCTGTCAACTAAAATAGTTGAACAACATAACGGATGGTTGTTTATGTTTTTGTTAGTAAAATGGATAGGGACTTAATTAAAACATTTAAATCCTAATTTTATGTTGTGTCATGGCAACGAACTGTTGAGCGGCACTACATTGGTTTGGATGGAATTTTTATATATAAACTATGGTACCGCGGTCTGAGCTTGAGTCTCATAGTCGACGGTTAGGGAGCGTATATGCAGTAGGATGCGTAGCCAGCTATGCTGGTTGAGGTATACCCTATTAGGCTTAGGTAGTCATACCCACTCAGGTGCGTTTTTGCATGTTGCCTTCTATTCAGGTTGAGACCCTCAGCATAGCCTAGTGAGAGTCCTGTACTGTGATTATATGTATATATTTATTTACAGACTATATAGATATGGTTGAGACATCTAGGATGTATCTGCGTATCGGGTCTCTGTTTGGATTGTAGTTAGGATAGAACTTATTCGTGGGCCTGACCCACTATTATTTTTCAGGTAACGGACGGTATCAGGTCTTAGAGTTTGTTCGTGCTGAGCAGAGACGACTACTCACTCTACCGATGACATAGGCAGTTCCTGCATGATTTAGAATTGGATTCATTTCTGGTGGTTCATTTCTCAGTGTTGGTTTTATTAGGGGTCCACCAGATTGGATTCCCAAGTTGTATTAGAATTGGAGAAGTTGGATGTATCAGACTAATTATTTATTTATAAAATTTTTATTCTAAGGTTTTTCTATAAAGGATTTACATTTTTAGTTTCTTTTCAGTAAATCTTTATTCATTCCTGCTATTCAAATTTTATTATGTGTTCGTTAATTGCTAATTGATTTGATATCCTCGGGTAATCGGGCGTGGGCCTGGCCAACCCGCATCCGGAAATCCGGGGGTATCACATGTTGCTTGGATCTCCACTTGGATACTGATCTCAGATCTCTTAGCTTACGTGGAACGATCTCCTCATCCTTTTCACGAACCACCATCAACATTTTGGCGACTCTGTTAGGGAGGAGCGCTTCGCATATATCAAGTATACGGGAGATCAGTCCACCTTCTCAAACTAGCCCTGCTTTAGATGAAGGCTATAACGGATCCGTGAGTATGCTTGGGTCGTATTTCCCTGGGACCAGGATTATCTATCCTGATGCCCTGGTTAAAGCTCACAATGCTTTATCTCGTAGAATGGAGCAATTAGAGGGCACACAAAGAGAAGTAGTGACATTGCTGCGGGAGATTGTCGATAGAGGGGTACCTCGGCGAGATTTAGGCCCAACCAGTGTCCCCTCCGACGAGCTTACTGGGGGACACATGACCCCAGAAAACTTGAAACGACATTCGCTCTCATCATCAGCTGAAGTAAGACGAGCTGCTGGCCAATGTAGACAATCACGAGACGCGCCGCCTCGGGCCCGCCGAACTCTTTTCAGCACTCCCCTCACGGCACCTGCAAGGTTGAGTATGCCAAGTACTAGCCGAAGAAAGGCACGACGCGGGAATGGGGGATCAGAAGAGCTCAGATGTCAACAAGATCTCGTGTAGCCGTCGCCGTATGTAACTGTGGCGGATCTGCAAACATTGCTACGAAATGAAAAAAATATGCTAATGCAGGAGGCGGCTCCCGAACCACCATATGCGCAATCCATTGCACTCCTCCTTTATCCCCCGGGGGTATCTGACCCCTAAGTTTAACAAATTTGATGGGAGGAAAGGGAATCCGCGAGAGCATGTGGTCCTGTTTATTGAAGCTTTGGGGCCCTTTGGAAACGATCACACATTGCGACTTAGAGAGTTCTCAAAAACTCTCACAGATAGGGCCTACAAATGGTATGCAAATTTAGAGTCCGGGTCGCTCACTACCTGGAACCAATTAGCCACGATTTTCCAGTCGAAGTTCTTTCAGGCGGAGGAAAGGGTGACCACTCTCTCCTTGACCAAGGCCATGGAATATTACGAAACCCATGAAGAAGAGGCACTGGCCAAGATATGCATACAAGGCATGCAGGGATCTTACCGAATCCATTTCATTAACTTAAAGTTACCCACTTTCGCCGATTTGATAGAGGCATCTCAGAATCTGGCAAGTAACTTTGTTATCTGTGCGTAGGGCGCTACGCAAGAAGAGTACCGAGGCAGACGTAGACCTCAGGTTGCGGCTGTAGATGAGCCGAACAGCAAGAGGAATGGGAGGCCAGCCCGCGCCCCTCGAACAAAGAATCCGGACAAGGCACCTCCTCCATTCCCATGCACCCCGGAAGAGGTAGAAACCATCCTTAAGAAGTGGATCCAACATGGAGATATCAGACTGCCTGAGGTTCTTCATGAGCCTACTGCGGAAGAAATGGCTCACCCCAAATATTGCATGTATCATCGGCATACTCGTCACCCTACCTACAATTGTTAGGCCTTGTGAAATACTTTCCATAAGCGGATTGCTAACGGTGAACTCATTTTCCCTCCCAGGGACGTGAGGGAGGAACCGTTTCCTGCACATGATCGAGGGGCTGCAATGATGGTCTCCGGCGTAGCAAATGATGAGGGACGAGTCGAGGAGGATGTTTCCTCCTCCAGCAATGACTACCATCAGCATGGGGACAGTGTCGCCCAGGTCGCGCTAGTAAGGGAAGACGATCTCGATGCGTTCCGATTGCTGGAAACCGCTCCAGTTAAAAATATCCTTCAGAAGATGGATTTTTCTCCTCTTGCTCAGAAAGAAATTGCCAAGATCCTGTGGTTGGCGGCGAAGGAAGGTGTAAAGGAAGTCGCGTCGATCACATCGCTCCCAGTACCTCAGAGATTGACCGGGTCGGCCATAGTCTTTACTGAAGAAGACAAATGTGTTCTTACACCGCACAACAGGCCGTTGTATGTTACGGCCTCTCTTAATGGGGTCGAACTCAAGCGGGCGTTTCTTGACAACGGTTCATCCCTCAATATCATGCCATTGGAAATTTTCCGTCGCACTGGATTGCCAAGTGAGAAGCTTATCCGGAAGTCGACTGAAATTACCGGGTTTGGGAGTGATATTCGAAGAACTGAGGGATATGTGACAACCGAGTTGGTTATTGGAAAATTCAAAGGCCCAGTTAAGTTCCATGTCATTGATTCAGACACTCCTTATCACTTATTAATGGGTCGCGGTTGGATGCATAAGTTTGGAATTGTTCCATCTTCGTACCACCAGTGTATAAAAGTGTTCTGGAACGGGAAGCAAGTAACGGTCCGCTGCTCTGATCGACCGTTCACCAACAGGGAATCTTATATGGTGGAGGCTGCATTCTTTAATGAACTTGAGGAGGCGGAGGAACCCCAACCGTTGAAGGCCTACTCTTTGCCAAAGTGGGAGGCCATCGACCGATAAGGAAATAAAATGATGCCAGAAGCGAATACAAGTCAGAAGGGGCTGGTCGTTTGCAAGAGAGTACGTTTGGTCGACGGGTGGATCGCCTACCGCTTATGATGGTGTTGGGGGGCACGATCTCGGGCGAGGCCGTCGCCCCCATGTGGAGACATGTCACGCGGAGTCTCTTTGTCATGAGGACGAGGTCAAAATGGAAGCCGAGTCTATCCGGCTTACCCAGGGAGTGCTGGAAGAGGTCAATCTAGCCACTGACGGTTGTCACTGGGTGATCTATGTAAGCAAGCAGTTGGAACAAAATGAAAAGTTGGCATTAATAGCCCTACTAAAGGAATTTGAAGACGTCTTTGCCTGGACGTACGAAGAAATGCCAGGATTGGACCCTCGGGTAGTGGCTCATCATCTTAATGTGCGACCGGACGCATGCCCAGTCAAGCAAGTGCAAAGGAGTTTCCGGCCCGAGCTCGAGTTACAAATAACAGAGGAGGTACAACGGCTTTTGCGAGCTGGCTTTATCAAACCGATTCAGCATCCTACGTGGCTGGCGAATGTGGTCCTATTGAAGAAAAAGAATAGAAAGATCAGGATTTGTGTTGATTTCAAAAATTTGAACAAGGCATGCCCTAAGGATGATTTCCCGCTGCCCATGATTGATAGCTTGGTAGACTCCACCTCAGGACACCAAATGTTCTCTTTCATAGATGGATATAGCAGGTACAATCAGATCAGGATGTCACAGTGTGATGCGAAAAAAATGGCATTTCGTACCCCCATGGGAATTTCTACTTCACGGTCATGCCCTTTGGCCTAAAGAAAGCTGGGGCCACTTATCAGCGAGCCATGATAGCTATTTTCCATGATATGTTGCACAGGCAATTAGAAGATTATGTGGATGATCTGATGGTAAAATCGCGAGCTCGGGCCGATCATTTGGCAAACTTGAGAAGTGTTTTTGAAAGGTGTCGAAAGTACAAGTTGAGAATGAATCCATTGAAATGCGCCTTTGGTGTCAAAGTCGGCCGATTCCTGGGATTTATGGTTCATCGGCAAGGTGTGGATATTGAGGAAGGTAAGGCTCGGGCCATCATGGAGATGCCCCCGCCGCGGTCCCTCAAACAGCTAAAGAGTTTAGTAGGGCAGGTCTCGTACCTACGACGCTTCATACCGGCGCTTGCCGAGATAACGCACACTTTTGGCACCTTGATGAAAGGAGGCTCTGAGTTCAGGTGGAAAGAGGATCATCAACAGGCTTTTGACCAACTCAAGAAGTTGTTAGCATCGACCACTACCATGATGGCTCCCTAGATCGGGGTCCCCCTCAGGCTTTACATCACGTCGACTGAACGCTCCGTAGGAGTGGAGCGCTTCTCGCCCAGGAAAAGGATGGCCGAGAATGCCCTGTGTATTATATAAGCTGAATCATTCAAAGAGCCGAAGCGCGCGATAGAGTGCCATTGTCTATCTCTAGCATTTGCGGCCAAAAAGTTTCGCCATTATTTTTTGGCTCATACCATTCACCTCATCACCAAATATGACCCTTTAAGGTACCTGCTCTCGCAACCCATTATCTCGGGAAGAGTGGCGCGCTGGCTTCTAATGTTGGCCGAGTTCGATATCCAGTGCCTCGCACCCCGCGCCATCTTAAGTCAGGCTATGGCTGACTTGATTGTAATACCCCTAATTTTAAAAAAGGATATTCCTGGTATTTAATGGTATTTAATTTATTATTTAAGTGCATTTTATTTGATTATATGTCATTATTTTTTTTATTAGGTGCTTAATTATTTTCTTTTGTGGTGATTTAATTTATTTAAATGATATTTATTTTTAGTTATTTGATTAGAATTACTTGTTAGTGTTTTAATTATTTAATTGGCATTAATGGTTTAAGTGAATTGGTTTAATTATTTTATGTGTGTCTTATTTGGTTTTATTGGGTTTACTAATTATTATTTTGTTCAATTAGATTATTTGTTAAGTATTTAATGGTGAATAGGGTAATTAGGTAAATACATCTAACTAGGGTTTTAATTACAGTATAAATTAGGGTTTTATATTATAGCCGTCGTAGGTTTCTACTTTAATTGGATGGGCTGGTTAGGATTGTGAGTTGGACTTAAATGAACATAGGGGTTAGGAAAACTCTATAAGTATAAGGTAGACGTCTGTGTAGGGTTTTTTTTAAACAAAGCACACGTTTTGTGGAAGTGGAAAAGGAAAAACGCTGTTTTTCACATTCTGCCAAGGTTTGATCAAAGTTCCGATCCCCTTTCGTCCGTGGTCCGATCGAGCTGAATTTTGGAGGAGAGGTTCATGACTCAGTGACGCACAATTTGAACGGTGGAGATCAGAGTTTGACCTCGGGAACAGTGATTCGTACTTGTGAACAGTAACTGGGTCGCACAGGTTTTTTTTTTCCATTCTGCCCAGATTTCATCAAACATCGGATCCCGCTTCGTCCGTGGTCCGATCGAGCTAAAATTTGGAGGATAGGTTCATGACTCAGTGTCGCACAATTTGAACGGTGGAGATCAGATTTTGAGTTCAGGAATAGTGTTTTGTACCCATGAACAGTAACCGGGTTTTGGAACTCGCCGGGATTTTTTAAGAAGACGACGTTGAAACTTTGAGCAAAAGTTTCTGAGGCAAGATTCTATCCTTACTCTTTCCCTTAGGCTTCATACTTTTTGCACTCTTAAATGATTCCAGGATTAATGAAGATTAAACCAAACTAAAATGATATCTGTTTTACTATGAAACTGGTAGTTACAGTAGTGTTGTATGCTTGTTCAACCTAGACTAAGCATGTTTGTGGATGCATTGTGGTTCTGTGGTTCACGTTTTTCCTTACCACTGCTAGTATAAATTATTGGAAGGATGGGTCTAGATGATAGCTATCTTAACTTCTGTAATAGCAACTGTTGGAACTTAAATATTAGGAGGATTTGAGTTTAACACTAGATCGGTTTTGTGGAACACTATAACTTGAGCATGTCTACATACATACTGTGAATATTATTTTGATGCTTACATTATCACAGTTAGTATCAACTGTGGAGGTTAGGATTTTGTGATACATACCCTACATATCTGTATGTTATTTGTAAGGTGTTAAATGGAAGTTTTAATTAATTCTGTCTTTATATCAGACTAAAGGGAACAACTTAAATTGGGCATGTATATATTGTTGTTGTGAACCTGTTTATCAATGCTTATTTTATCACTGTTAACATTGAATGTTGGATGTTGGAATTTAGTTGATATATACTTGATTTATTGGTATTATTGACTACTAGAGGATTGGAAAGTAGGCACCGGTATGGGACGGTGGCATACTAAGGATGGGTTTGGTTTTTAAAACAATACTATTACCCACCTACTTGGAATAAGGATGGGATTAACTAAAAGTTAAGTCCCGTGGATTTGTATTGTCATGGCAACTACTTGTTGAGCGGCATTACCAGGGGTTTTGGATGGATTTTATATATATACTGTTATGGTGCCTCGGTATGAGCTTGAGCCTCAGGACCGATGGCTAGGGAGCGTATATGCATCGGGATGTGTAGCTGGCTACGATGGTTGGAGGTGTACCCTGTTTAAGTATAGGTACATATGCCCACTTCGTGTGCGTTTTAACATGTTACCTCTATTCAGGTTGAGACCGGCCTGTAGTCCAGTGAGAATCCTTTAATGTGACTATATATATATTTACGGACTATTAGCTATTGTTGAATTGTTTAAGATGTACATGCGTATCGGGCCTTTGTTTGGATTGTAGTAGTATAGAACTTGCGCGTGGGCCTGACCCACTTCTATTTTTCAGGTACACGACAGTTCCAGGTTTAGACGTGTTCGTGCTGAGCAGAGGTCTCTATTCACTTTTCCGACGATGTAGGGCTCTCTCTATAGTTTTATTTCTGGACGTTTATTACAATTGTTCTATTTTCCGTTTGGATGTTTAATAGGGGTCCACTAGAGATGGATTCCCAAGTTGTAAACTGATGGAGTTTTGGAGTTTGGGTTTGATGGATTTTAATAATTATAATATTTTACGGATTCTATTTTTAGTTCCTTCCAGCTTTAATTTCATTTCTTAATTTATTTTGTATTCCGTGTTCATTATAAAATATTAATTGTTTGATATTCCCTCGGGTTTGGGCCTGGGCCAGATCAACCCGTGTCTCGGATCCGAGGGGTATCTGAGTTGCCCAGTTCCCTTCTAGAAACTTCGAGCCAGTGCACGATGACTTGCCCCATGACGAGTTCGGGTCGGTCTGTTGCGCGGATCAAAGCATGATGTGGACCCTGTCGTTTGACGGATCGTCAACCTCTACGGGAGGCGGCGTGTAATACCCCTAATCTTAAAAGGGATAAAAATGGAATTTAAATTTTATTTTTGTGCATTTTAAATTGATTTTGTATCTATATGCTCATGTGTCCAATTGTTTGTTTATTTTAATTCATTGTGTTATTTTTTTTTAATTGTTTGTTTATTTTAATTAAGGATGTAATTCTTTATTTGTTTGTTTATTTTAATTAATTGTTTTATTTATTTTATGTGTTTTAAGTGATTCGTTGCTTGCTTATTTGATTTAATTAATGGGTTTTATTAAATTAATTATTTATTAAGTATTTAATTTTTGAACAGGGTAATTATGTAATTCCCATTAACTGGGGTTTTAGATACGTTTTAGTTAGGGTTTTTGGAGCCGTCTCATAAGCATCTGATATGTAACTAAACTGGGTTACTTTGTGGGCCGACGAAGTTAGGGCTCTGTGGATTAGGGTTTTAATCTTGCAATTATAAATACCTCAGTATATGTTAAACCTAGGGTTACATATTGTCGTAGCTTTTACACGGAAAAGTCTGCCAAATAGAGAGAGTTACAGAGGGAGTTTTGGTGAGAACAGAGCAGTTTGTGAGAATTTCGACTGGGGTTCCAAGGTTTAACCAAGGAGAAGGAAGGAGCAGAGGTTCTAGGAGGTTAGACAAGTTTCAGTGG